CAAACGGTGCCAGATAGAGTCAAACGGACAAAATTTTCGCCCAGAGGGCTCTACTTTCACGAGTTACCCCTTAGGGGACCTGAAATTTGTAGACCTCTAGCTCATCTCCTTCCTCTTACACGGACGACGGACAGACAGACGGACGGACGGACGGACGGACGGACGGACGGACACGAGAGCGGTTGCATAAGCCCGCTTTAATGCTTTTTAGAAAGCAGAAGGGCGGGCTAAAAACAGGAAAACACGACGATTAAGGTGGAGCTCAGCACCGTCTTATGCTTCGTCTTGGTCCAACATCACCCCGCCCCGCCCCGCCCGAGCCGGCGCAAGGGTGACGCCAGTTGCAGGGTATGCAACAGACTAGCAGCTGTGTGATTGATTCAATTGCCTACCCACCAGGCTGCGGCGACGCCAGGGAGAGGGGGAGCGGAAAGGGGGGGGGGGGTTGCTACTGCTGAACGATAGCTGACCGAGTGAGACGACCGCGCCCCGCGCCGACGCCGCCGCCAGACAAGTGCGGCATTGGAGTACGGCTGTTACAGCCGGTGCACAGCGAGACCGCAGAGGGGGGGGACGTGGTAGTTATACTGTACCGCATGCACGGGTGCGGGCGGGTTGCCTACTCGCCCCGCCCCGCCACTCCCTGGCATTCCTTGGTGCGACTCAAGGCGGCGGCGGCTACCCCAGGGGCCGCCCTGCTGGAAGTAGTGCTGCGTTGCCAGAGCGCAGAACGGTGCGTCGCCTAAGCCATGCACATGACGCGGGGCGCGGCCAAGCAGGGCGGTGACCGCCCCGCCCCGCCCCTGGAAGCACGTCATACTCACCATGATGCTCTTGTAGGCCTCCCTGCTGTGCCTGCACCTCTGGGGGTCCTGGTATGCCTCGCAGCAGGGGTCGTGGACCGCGCCTGGGAGCCCCGCCCAATACAGCTGGTACCCCACCGGGGCCTCGGACTGCGCCCCCAAGCGCACGGGCACGTAGCCAGTGGAGCGCACGACGCAAGAAAGCAGGTGCTGTTAAAATAAAAAATGGAAATGAATTGCATGAGCAGGCAGTCGTAATACGGTAGTCCCCCGGGGTGGGTGTCAAAATGTTCGGAAAGTAATGGGAAAGAAGCCCTAACCCCTAACCCATACTAAGCGAGCGCA